TAGGTGCGGAGCCCGGGACTCCTCGGGACCCCCCCGGCCCCGCTCCCCGCCCCCGGCTCCGCCGGCCCCTAACGCTCCTCTCCCCGCGGGCAGCGCGCCCGGACCTACATCATCCCCATCGAGGGGACCCCCCGCACCGTGCGCCTGCGGCAGCAGTAAGTGGGGTGCAGTGGGCAGGCAGCGCGTCCCCCGGCCCCTCTGCAGCCCCCGGGGCTGTGCGGGGTCACGGCTGGGGGCCGGGGGGGGCCACTGCCACCACGTGTGGCCACAGTGCCGACTGCAAGGGTGTCATCTCTGGTTTGTACCTAGAGTGTTTTTGCCGGAGGATTTCCGGATCTATACCGACGGCCGAGGGGGGCTTGCGAAATCCGAACTGGCACATATCAAGGTAATAGTCACGACCCTGCATGCTGTACCCAGCGTCTCTGAGAATAGAGCAGCTGTGGAAGTGCTCCAGGAGGAACGTGTAGAGGAGATTCCCCTCTGCCACAGTGCTCCGTAGAGCCCTGCTCTCCCCCGACACAGTGCCAGCAGGAACTCTCTCAAGGCACCAAACCCATTCCCTGGGACCATGGGTAACCAAGCCAGCGGTGTTCAAACGTCAACATGGTTGGTACCACATGGTTGGAGGAAGGTGGGCAGCAGCCAGCCAGTGGTTTTGCAGAGGGGCAGGGGTGTGGGCTCGGCCTCTAGCTGACACAGCGATGCAAGCAATCGCACATCTCACAGTGGAGCCTGTCCTACAGCGTGCGGGCTCGGGCTGTCTGGGGGGCCGCAACTGCTGCCAGGCAAATGTGTTTTTGCCTGGCAGTGTTTGGGACGACAGCCACGCTGAGGGCACGCATTGGCTTGCACCCTGCCACAGCGAGGGCTGACACAGGGGTGTAACGGGTTCCCGAGGACTGTAGGGAGCTGAGGAAGGGACAAAGACCAACCGGGGGATCAGTGCAGGTGTCTGTTCCCAGAGGAGGCTGCAGTGCTGTGCTTCTCCCCACACGTGTTGTGTGTCCGTCCTCTGCGGGGACAGGGACTGCAGTGCAGGCGGTAGCAAGGTTTGGTGCCTCGCAAACGCTGCAGTGCTCCCCAGGTCTCTGGGGAGAAGGCACCGAGCTGTTGATACGTTGATCCTTCCAGCGCGACTGCTTCTACGAAGGCTACATTGAGGGTTTCCCTGTTTCGCTCGTGGCACTTAGCATCTGCTCCGGCCTGAGGTAAAGCAGTTGCTTTTGCGTGGGGGACAGGCATCAGTGCGAGCGCCAAGCAGTGTTGGTGTCATCCCAAGGTGGCGGAAGAGCCATTCCTGCCACTCTGCACCTTTGCTTTCCAGCGGGATCCTGCAGCTCACGAATGCCAGCTACGGGATCAAGCCTCTGGAGGCTGCAGCTGGGTATCAGCATCTCGTGTACCCAATGTGGAACGAAAATGTAGAGACTCAGCTGTTCGTAGAAAACAACTCTCTTGCCCGGACTGGGCAGGCGTCACGGAAGCTGGAGGACACAATAGCAGTGAGTACACCTCCTGTCCGGTTGATCTTTGGTGGGATGGTAGCCATAGACATGAGAAGCTTGTAGCCGATGGATGACTCGATTTGTGCAATAGTGTGTTGTTTCTGAGTTGATTTGGTACAGCAGATGCTAAAGGGCTTCCTAACTCGTCTGTGCTAAGGATGAGGTGTCTGCCTGTGACGGGTGGGAGCTGTGAGGGTGGTCCAAGGCTGGGCAAGCAGGACGGGGATTTCTCGGCAGTGGTTATCATGCAAGAGTCGACCCTGCCTGCTTATTAATGGGACGGAAGAGAGCCAGGCAAGCGGGGAGGGCATGTTCCTTCGCTGGAACTTACCCGTTGGGGCAAAGCCACTGGCAGTGTGCAGTGCTGGGAGGGCAGTGGTCCCAGCAGACGGCTGGTGTGTGGTACTGCTGGATGGCTGGGTTACAGAGCTGTTGTGAATAGGAAGGAGTCAATGCTTGCCTCTGCTCTCTGTTGTAAGTTGCCTTTTTTTCCATTGGTCTGTGGCCTTGCCAAAATGTCTGTTGTTGTAAATACGGATGGAATCTGTGGCTGAGGATGTCATGTTGTAGATGATGTAAAGACTGTTTTTCTGGGAATCTGGGGCTGTTTGTCCTACACCTCCAAATGGCCGTGAAGTGCAGTAACTGACCATGGACCTAAAGGTCTCCTTTGCAGAGCTGCTACGAACTGCAGAAGCTCTGCACTAATGTGTGTGTGCAGGTTTTTTGTTCTTCAGTTTGTTTTGTTACTTGATTTTCCTAAAGAGTAAGCAACCTGTCAGTAGATCCCCTCGGTATCTGGAAATGCACGCAGTTTTGGACAAGGCTCTGGTAAGTCTTTGCATCCTCTCTGCTGTAAATTGTTGCCCCTAGAAAAATCTTCTGCGTGCAGCAAGTCTGTAGCTGCTCAAGAATGTCAAGGGCAATTTGCATGAGGCTTGAGAGTCTCCGTGCAATGGGAACTAACTCCCTTGGGCATGGACAAGTATATGTTGTGGCAGGGACCACAGCCAGCGCTCTCGGAGAGTTTGCCTTGCACGGTGCCCTGACGTGCTCTTTTGTTTGTCACCTTTCAGTATGACTATATGGGGGCAGACAAGGATGCTGTGACGGCCAAGATAGTTCAGCTTTTCAGCTATGTGAACAGTGTAAGTTGCTTTTGGTCACATCCTGAACATGCATGGGAAATGTGTGGTAGCAGTACGGATGAGGCCCCGTAGCTAAAGCAAGCGGGAGGCCATGGAGCAGCAGGGCTCTGTGGACCAGCCGTGGTGTCTGTCTGCCTCCAGATGTTTGCTCGCCTCAATCTGACGATAGTACTGTCTTCCCTGGAGTTTTGGACAGAAAATAACAAAATCCCAACCACAGGAGATGCTGAGGAGTTGCTGCAGAGATTTTTGCAGTGGAAAAATGTGCATCGTGTGTTGCGGCTGCAGGACACAATGTTCCTATTTGTGTAAGACGAGGATGGCTGTGTTAGCGTGGAAACAAAAGGAAGAAGAAGGTGCCGTTATACCGTGTGTCAGACTGAGTCTGGTCTGTTCCCAGTTACAGGGAGCAGTCCCGTTACGTGGGGGCTTGTTCTGTGAGGAAGCTGTGTCTCAGAAATCATGCTGGAGCGGTTGCCTTGGTACGGTACCACTGAGCTGTCTGTCCCCATAACCTCCTGTGCCTGTAGGTAAGGTGGCGAGCGGTGCCTCAGGAGCTAAGCCCTGCATGCAGCCTAAGGCCGAGGAGCCACTGGCAGCAGAGGCTCCTCAGGGTGGGAGTGGAGCCCTGCGAGCGATGCAGCGGAGGTGCTGGAAGGGCACAGAGCGGGTGCCCCCCGGGCTGTTGCTGCAGGAGCCCTCATGCCTGGCAGCCCACCAGAGCCCCAAGGGAAGGCGCTCCGGTGCGGCAGCGATGGCGGGCTGAGGCTGGTCCTTGTTCCCCCTGCAGTACCGGAGGGCTATGACGCTTGAGGCGTTTGCAGTCGTCGTGGCCCAGCTGCTGGGGCTCAGCCTGGGGATGGCGTACAACGAACCCGGGAGCTGTCACTGCGCAGGAGCCGTCTGTGTAATGCAGGCCAGCTCGGTGTAAGGCTCCCCCTGCCCCCTCGGCGCATGGGTGGGTTTTGGTGTGATGGCACAAGTGGGGTGTGCTCCCGCTGGGTGTGCACGGTGCCCATCTGTTCGATGCCACCTGCGAGGGGCAGAGCAGGGGACGTGTCCAGGAGTGTGCAGGGGAGGAGGGGGCAGACAGCGGGCAGCTCCTGGGGACGACCGCAGCGGAGAGCAGCCGCCCCACGTTACCGACATCTTCTGCAGGCAGGAAGGGCCACACAGCCCCAAATGCAGACCGTGGTAACGGCAGCCCTGTCCTCTGACTTGCAGACACTCAGCTGGTGTGAAAGCCTTCAGCAGCTGCAGCGTAAGAGACTTTCAGCGTTTTCTCAACGCTGGAGAAGGGCAGTGTCTGCTGAACAGGCCAGCTATGGATGCAGCATATAAAGCTCCTGTGTGCGGCAACAAAGTGGTGGAGCCGGGAGAGGCTTGTGACTGCGGTTCAGCAGAGGTTAGTTGTGGAGCCTTGGTACAGTTGGAGGGAGCCAAGCCATGTGTCCCTGGGGGGGATGAACTGTCCCAAGAGAGGCGTGAATTGCTCCTGTACGCCCCAGACCTCTGTGCAGGGCAGAGAGGGCCTGAGGCTTTATGAAACCCTAAAGCAGCGCTGGCGCCATGCAGACGCTTGGCTATGGTTGCCACCATGTCCAAAGCAGCTGTCATAGAGGGCTGTCGTATGGTGTTGGTAACGGATGGATAGAGGGAGCTTGTAAGTGGTTGTAGCTACAATGAGGGGCTGCCCCCAGCCCCCTGCTGCAGGGACACAGCCTGAAATGGTGCTGGGAGGATTACCCTAGGGACCTGACAAGGTGTCCAGCTGCTGATACCACTTGGGAAGCAGTTTTGCACACCAGAGTGGTACGTGGTGACGTTGTGGGGAGAAACTCTGTGACTGCAGTGTGCCAAAAAGGCAGGGGTGCTGTAGTGGTCGTGTGGTTTGCTGGCAGGGTGTAGGCAGAGGTGGAGGCAGCGGGGAAGGTCTGGTAGAGGAGCAGTACTCCTGTCACAGAGGAGAACTGGTGAGCAGCGGATGAACTCCACTGTCTTGCTAGAAGACCCCCAGTTTTCTGCCAACCTGGGTGCAGCCGTGCACATACATCCATGAGCGATCTCTGTCCCCGCAAGTGCTGCCAGACCTGGCAATGGCTCCCCCCCGGCCTCAAGCATGTATGGTTGTGAGGATGGAAAATATGGTCTTGCCATGGGAGCATGGATGGCTGGGGGCAGCCAGCGTGGCGGAGGGACTCTGCCCAGGGACCCTGGGCGCTACTGGAGAGCCTGAGAGGTGGCTACCTCGGATGGTGGGCGCTGCTGGAGGGAAAGGCCAAGCTCTCCAGTTTGTTCCCTTGTTGTCCTTGGGAGAGGTGGAACCTCGCCTGACTGTCCCCACTGGTCACCTCCAGGAATGTCGGCGCGACCTGTGCTGCACCATTGGCTGCAAGATGAGGAGAGGGGTGCAGTGCCTGTCAGGACCGTGCTGCCAGAAATGCCAGGTAAGCCGTGTGGCGGGAGCAGATACACTGCATTCCCTAGGGATAGCCCCCGTGCCGGCATCGCTCGCTTACACGACTAATGTGAAGCGGGAATGTAACGGGACCGCAGGGGTAAATGGGGACTGTGTGTCCAGCCAACGGTACTGGCTAATGCGCTGATGTGGAGGGTCAGCGAGTGTCAGAAAGTGAAGTGAGTGCTGTGAAGTGCTGGTGCCAGTTAGGTGCCTGTGTCCCAGGAAGGTATTTTTAGGGCACAGGTACTGTGCCTGCTCCCAAAGTACCGAGGTGAAGGAGATGCCAACTTTATGGCCGCATGCGAGGCTTGTAGCGGTGTCCCCCTGTTTGGCCTTCCCAGCTGGGCAGCACAGGCTGCCTGGGACGGGGTGACTCCTGTCAGTGGTGGCATGTCTGCCCCCTTGCCAAGAGCTGTGCAGGCTGCAGGGGAGGGCGGCGGGGCAGAGGAGCAAGCCGAGGCCGCAGGAGCCAGAGCAAAGGCAGGGCAAGCAGAAATCAGCACATGAGAGTCACGCCGTGTCGGGCTATGCAGGTGCCAACAGTCTTGTGGTGTGCAGGAGTTTGGGGGGGGCTGCAGCTGGAGCTGGGGCTTCAAAGTACCGGCAGCTTTGGTCTTGCAAATGTACAGAGAAGACAGGGTGCAGTGTGGTCAGGAGCCAGAGGAGCTGAGACTTCTCTTTCTGGGGGAGAGCCACTGTGGTGTCTGGAAGGTATTTACTCTACACGTTGTGCAGATCAGGCCAGCCGGTGTTACCATGGGAGAAACTTTGGGGGTCCTTTTGTTTGTGTCGCTGGTTGATGCAGTTGTTGAAAATGGCAGATAGAGCAGTTGGTCTGAAATGTCTCCCTTATGGGCCTCAATTCCAGGCAGCTGGAAGCCATGTGGTGGAAGCAGAGGGTGCTGGTCGACAGCAGGCTCAATAGGAGCCAGCAGTGTGCCTGAAGTGGTCAGGCAGTTGGACGAGATGATTGGTGTAGGTCCCTTCCAACTGGAAAATATTTCTCTTCTCTTCTCTTCTTCTCTCCTCTCTTCTCTCCTCTCTTCTCTCCTCTCTTCTCTCCTCTCTTCTCTCCTCTCTTCTCTCCTC